AAAAAAAAAAAACTGGCTTATAATGGTACATATTAAATTGTGTTTGCACTTAGTTGATTTGAATCTCACAGTAGCTCTTTGGGTAGGCAGGACAAATGTAATTATATATGAAGAAATTAAGGCTATTATCCAGAGTCACCCAAATAGGAAAACGGAGGAATCACAATGAAATCCTAGATGTAAACACTTTTCTGTGGTATCATAATGCTGTTAGGATTAATTGACCAGGTGTAGACCACTTCCATATAGCTAAGAATTGGCTGCAGTCCCAGCATGTTGGTAGCTGTATTACAAGAGCCAACATGCCAAAGGAGAAATGGTACAAGGCATCAGAAATCAGAATACTGACAGAGTGTGCATATCTCTCTTTCCCTCTGCTTCCCCATACAGAGCGCCAGGTCTTCCTTGCCACGTGGAAGGATATTCCCAATGAAAATGAACTTCAGTTTCAGATTAAGGAATGTCATTTAAATGCTGGTGAGTACTAAGTCTATATCTCATTTTCATTTTAGCAAATTAAGTTAAATGTTTGAAATTTTTATCTGTACTTCTTTTTTCCATATATATCATCTTTCTAGTAATTATGTGGTAGATACATTATTTTGCAAACCTCTGTTTAAAAACTTGATATGTATTTTCTTTGTTTTGTTTTGAGATGGAGTCTTGCTCTGTTGCCTCAGCCAGAATGCAGTAGTATCATCATAGTTCATTGCAACTTTAAATTCCTAGGCTCAAGTGACCCTCCTCCCTCAATCTCCCAAGTTGCTGGGACTACAAATGTACACCACCACACCTGGCTAATTTTTTCTGTTTATAGTAGAGATGGGATCTTGCTTTTCTCAGGCTGGTCTCAAACTTCTGACCTCAAGTCATCCTCTTGCTTCAACCTCCTGAAGCACGAGGATTACAAGCATGAGCCACCATGCCCAGCAAGAAAATTTGTATGTTTTGATGTAGGGTACTATGTTATTTGTTTGTTTATTTATTTATTTATTTTGAGATAGGGTCTCACTATGTCATCCTGGGTAGAGTGCTGTGATATCACAGCTCACAGCAACCTCAAACTCTTGGGCTTACGCGATTCTTTTGCCTCAGTCTCCCAAGTAGCTGGGACTATAGGTGTCTGCCACAACACCTGGCTATTTTTGTTGTTGTTGTTGTTGTTGCAATTGTCATTGTTATTTAGCTGGCCCAGGCCAATTTTGAACCCATCAGCCTCTATGTATGTGACTGGTGCTGTAACCACTGTGCTATGGGCACCAAGCTGGTACTATGTTATTTTAAAGTTAACAGATTTAAGAAACTAGAATTGATGTACCTACCCAATTCTTCAGTAGTTGAAGATGTATTAGTCATGTTACTTAAACATCTAGTATCTGGGCTGGGTGCAGGGACCCACAGCTATAATCCTAGTACTTTGGAAGACCAAGGAAGAAGGAGGTCCACTTGAGGTCAGGCTTTCAAGACCAGCCTGAGCAACTCTTTCTCTGGCCAGGCACAGTGGCTCACACCTGTAATCTTAGCACTGTGGGAGGCCAAAGCAGGTGGACTGCTTGAGCTCATGGGTTCAAGACCAGCTTGAGCAAAAGCAAGACCCCCATCTCTACTAAAAATAGAAAAACTGAGGCAAGAGGATCTCTTTGAGTCCAAGCATTGGAGGTTATTGTGAGCTATGACACCATGTCACTCTACCCAGAATGAGAGCTTGAGACTCTGTCTCAAAAAAAAAAAGACTCTTTCTTTACAAAATCTTTAATAATCAGATGTGGTAGTGCATGCCAATAGTCCTAGCTGCTTAGGAGTTGATGCAGGAGGATCACTTAAGCCCAGGAGTTAGAGACTGCAGTGAGCTATGATGAGGCCACTGTATTCTAGCCTGGTCAATAGAGCAGACCTTGCCTCTTAAAAAAAAAAAATCCTAATTATCAAATAACTGAAATGGCACTTAAAGGATACATAGTCTCATAAAAATTGAAAGGACCATTTCTTCTTTTAGATCAACCTTTGATATTGAAGGGAGGGTGCTTTCTTTCTGAGATTCTTTATTTAGAACCCCATGTTTATAACTAAATAATACATCATAGTCGATTAAAGCCTAGTTGGTAACCTTTTCTTTACTGCCCTGTGTCAGCTTTCATATGATGATCCTAACTTTAATCACCATTAAAAAGCTCTATAGCTTTTTAGTAGTAGTTTTATAGTAGTTAATTTTATTACTGTAGTAGAATATAAAAGTGATATCCCAAGAGGAAAAACAATAGCAGCTATTAGTCCCTAGGGCTTTGGTTTCCCTGAAGTATCCTCACGAGTGGAAGAAGCCTATGCTATTCAGATTCCTACATTGCTCTCTTTCTCTCTCCTTTATAAGTAGTGAAGGTGAGCCTTGGTGCCTGTATCCATTGATGTTTCTCATGAGAGACTTTTAGCACACAGCCATCCTTCAGTTGCAGCTGGCGTATGGCTTTGAGGGAGGGAGGTGATATGTCAGTACAGAAGGACAAAACAAAACACTGCCTCCTTGTTCCAACTTGTTTTGAATTTTAGTTTTTAGGACTCTATATTGTATTCATCTTCTGTGTTCAAACAAATCTCTTACAGGGCTTTGAAATCTAGCAGGATAGTGATTAGCTTCTTTCTGTGATACCTCTTTTAAATGTGATGACCCAAGAAGCCCTTTCTGAGGCATGCGGGAGGCTGGAATCCGGTTTGAACCCTTAGAAATTAAAGGCAGACAAACCGTTATCTGTGCACATAGAAACTTCAGAGAGGCAGTTGCCTCTGATAGTGACTGTCTATTGTCTCCTAAGCCCCTGGAGAGGTGTTTGAGGGAGAATTTTCGGTAATTTCCATCATAATAAGTAGCTAGTTGATTTTCCTTATTTTGTGCCATACTTTTAAATAGATGGTAATGTCATCTGTCCCTGTCTTTGCGGCTCACTGGTCAGTTACTTTGAGCCTCATTTGGTAAGTGCAGGAAGTTGGGCAGCTTTCCACAATATAAACTGTTCTTCAGGAGGCCTTCAGGTGCAGACTGCACAGTGGCTAGTGTTAAGAACCAGAATAAAATCTTGTTAAAGAAGCAGCCTCTGTACCCAGTGTGGAAGAGACCAGACCGCTGCTTATGGTTACCTTCATGGTAGTTGATCCAGTGGCAACATTTCAAATAATATGTTCCTGAGAACACTTGTCCCTCCAAAAAAAGAGGAGTGTTCTGTGGTCAGTTACAGTTGAAATATACAACATACGATATGCCTGTCTTAGAAGTCACCATTGCATGTTACCTCATTAACAGTTCTGAGAAACCCTTCATAAAGGAATCCCCTGTTAACTCAGTACTAACGGAATTTATTTGACCGTGGAATTTAAAATCACAAAATGCTTTTGTTAATATCTGGTGGACCACTAATGTTTCTAGAAATAGATCTGGGAAACTGTAGCCCAGTGGTTCTCAACCTTCCTAATGCTGTGACCTTTAATACAGTTCCTCGTGTTGTGGTCACCCCCAACCATAAAATTATTTTAGTTGCTACTTCATAACTATAATTTTGCTACTATTATGAACCGTAATGTAAATATCTGATGTGCAGGATGTATTTTCATTGTTACAAAGGGATCATGACCCATAGGCTGAGCACCGCTGCTCTAGCCTAAGGAGAGCAAAAGATAGGCCAGAGTAATTAATTGGAAAGCAGGTTTGGTTTCAGAAGTGTCCAGTACGAAAGGAACATATTTTTTCATAAAAGAAAATGGAAGTTTGGGTGACAGAGGACTTTAGTCTGACCTGCCAAAAGAAAAAAGAAAAAGATCTCTTAGCTTCAGATTGGAGTTTTGAACCCTTATTGCACTTTGGCATATGTTTGCAGTCTTGCCAGAGGAGCTGTGTCCTCTGAGGTAGTTTCTCAGAGCAAGTTCAGTTTTCATCCATTAAAGTGCAAAAGTAACTGCTCACTGCCATGGCCTCACGCCAATCCCTCCCTGTCTTAGGTGCTCCAAATACAAATGAATTTGATTTCCAGTGACAGACTGCTCTGTGGCTGCATAGCACACGGAACATAGGGAAGAACAGCCGCTTCATTTTCTCCAGGAGCCCAAGGCCATCATTTTCCCACAGTAAATCACTGTTAATCTTACAAGACCACTTCCCGCAACTAATCCTTTCCAGCTCTTCCTTGACTCATCGCAAGGTCTGGAATGCCCTGGCCTTTACATTTCCTTCCAGTCTTGAGGACTCTATTAACACAAGTGCTTTCAGGTTTAGTGCCTTCTGATTTAACACCCTGGGTCTAGCTGAGAGCTAAAAATACCATTCTTTCCAGCTGATCTGCCCCAATCATAATAGCACGAACACTTTAAATAGCTTCTGTGTGCTAGCATAGACATTTGACAGATGGAGCCAGCACTTGGAGGGCTACAGTAAGTCACAGGCTTAAAGGACTAACCACCCTACCATTGAGCAGTTACTTTTGCACTTTAATTAATCAGATTGTCGTTGAAAAGTATATGTGATAGGGTGCTTATGGTGCCAGTAGTTGTATTAAGAACTGATTTTCTTGGCTCGGCGCCTATAGTTCAACCGGCTAAGGCGCCAGCCACGTACACCTAAGATGGCGGGTTCGAATCCCCAGCCTGGACCTGCCAAACAACAATGACGGCTGCAACCAAAAAATAGCCGGGCGTTGTGGCGGGCGCCTGTGGTCCCAGCTACTTGGGAGGCGGAGGCAGGAGACTCGCTTGAGCCCAGGAGTTGGAGGTTGCTGTGAGCTGTAATGCCACGACACTCTGCCCAGGGGGACAGCTTGAGGCACTGTCTCAAAAAAAAAAAAAAGAACTGATTTTCTTTTCAGAAAGATACTAACAGACAGGACTCCAGGCATTTTAGCACTGATCATTTCTACAGGTGTCATGAGATCTGTATGAATCTGTTTTATGTCTTACCATTATAGCTGCGTTTGGGGTTAGTGTATATCTGTGACTACTGTCATAAGTACATAAGAAGTAGTTGCATCTCCAGTCATATCCAGAAAGGAATCTTTGTGCCTAGCACTTCTATAAATGTATTGTTAATTATTTATTATATTCTGAAAAGCTCAAATACATGATCTATTTTCACTAGTTAGATACTGTAGTGAAAGCCAAATATTTCTTCTGACATGAGGATTAGGTAAGGGTGAGTTCTATTTCTTTGCTTTGTTGTGGCTCTCTCTGCCCTTTGAAACATTTGAAAAATGGAAACACTTTCCCAGCCAACACCTGGCTGTAGTTTGTTTGCCCCAATGGTAAAAAGTGTTCTTTTAAGCAGTCACAGTGGTTTTAACTTACTAATGAATACCACAACAGGGCTCCCAAATGCATATTCCCCCATTTTCACTCTCTAATGTGAGTGCCTTCCCCACCATTATTGCTGTCAAATGAGCAGTGACCTTAGCTAAAGTAGAACAATGAAGGGAGGAATCTCCTGTCCATACTTTCTAACAGTTCCGGCCCTAGACTCAAAAAGCCAAATTTATGGAAGGATACAAATAAACTAGAAGAATCACATCTCGAAACAAGTGTAACAGCATTTGACATTTTTTTTTTTTTTAAATCTGTCTGCTTTGGGGCACTTCTCAGTGTCTTATGCCTCAAATGATATCATCAACATAAACTGCAACAATTAACATATTCTCATTCTCAAAGTCACACAACTGCAAGATTCCATCATGTTTGCCAGTTCAGGTGTTTATAAAACAAAAACTATGATGTTGTCAAGAATTCTAGTCTAGGTTTGGTGCCTGTGGCTCAAGTGGCTAAGGTGCCAGCCACGTATACCTAAGGTGGCAGGTTCAAATCCAGCCCTGACCCGCCAAACAACAATGATGGCTGCAACCAAAAAATAGCCAGGCGTTGTGGCAGGCGCCTGTGGTCCCAGCTACTTGGGAGGTGGAGGCAGGAGACTTGCTGGAGCCCAGGAGTTGGAAGTTGTTGTGAGCTGTGATGCCACAGCACTCTACCCAGGGGGACAGCTTGAGGCTCTGTCTCAAAAAAAAAAGGAATTCTAGTCTATCTGAGAAGCTGCCTTATGTCTGGCTTCCACTGTCATTTTTAATCAGTGCATTTAGCAAAGTCTAGTTATTCTGTAATCTGTAAATCTTCAGTCTCAGTCCTGATAACCTACACTGTACTTGATCTTAGCCAAAAGGCTGAGAAGCGATCCGTCCTATACCTGAAATGTATAAAAACTAATTCACAACTTGCTAATGTTATGAGCAGGGTCAGGTTCCTGGCCAGAATGCTTCCAGATATAATAAAGTTACATATATCCAACATGCTTATTCCTCCTGGCATTTGCTTATTTTCTAATTATGGAAGGAGTGTGTGTGTGTGTGTATGTATGTATGTATTAGGTTGTCATGTCTTACATAGGTGGTGAAATAATCTTGAGAAGTCTGTGGGAATCTGGACGTGCATATATATATCAACATCCAGATTTTATTTATATATATATATATATAATTTATTTTAGATTGTGTTTGTGCCTATGCAACAAAGTGGCTCTTTATCAAAGGCTTCCACTGTGTGTTTTGTATTCCTGGGAAATGGGCAAGAGCCTTGAAAGTTGGGAATGTCTTTTATAATTTAAAGCAAGCCCCTGTGTGGTAAAGGCAATCCTGTCAAAAAGCATTACCCAAATTCTGGCTGGTGATGTTGCCTGGCAGTCCGGTCAAAACTGCAGGAGCCTTTCACCGTGGGACAAGGTGACTACCAGACTGCCTGACTCCCCACAAAGTGGTTAAAAAGCATGTCGAGGTCATTCCTCTAGCAATCTAGCATGTAACTGCCTGGAGGTACATTGTTTGATTCCTCAAATAGAGCCATTTCTTCAGTTATTACTGCTTGGCTTGGTGTTATTGAAAACTTTGGAAACAAAAAAAGGAAAATGAAATAATAACTAAAGTTTCATGAAGGGAGCCTAATGTCCCTGAGCTGTCACTGTGTTAAACGTGGAGAAAGACATCAGGATGAGAGCTACCTCTAAAAGCAGTCCACATCTAAGACGGTGTTTAGTGTCTATGGATTATGTAAATATTGGCATCTCCAACACTTCTCTGAGGCTTATTCAACAGATACTGATCCCAGGTACCTGTAGGAAGCACAGAGAAAAAATGTTCATGATCCCTGTGCTCAGAGAGTTTACCATTTAGGAGGTAAAAAGACCATCCATCACGACAACCTTTTCCTAGAAAGCACAATAGAATATGACAGATTTTTATGTGGGGAGAATTTAGTTGTTGAAGTAGACATGAGTAATTTGAATTC